AGGCCCCAGCAGTTCCTAGAGGCCCCAGCAGTTCCTAGAGGCCCCAGCAGTCCCTAGAGGCCCCAGCAGTCCCTGGAGGCCCCAGCAGTTCCTACAGGCCCCAGCAGTTCCTTGCCACATGAGGTTTCCCAGCATATTCACTTATTTCATCAAGCCAGAAAGAAGAGTTTCTCTAACAAGTCTGCTAGCAAGATGATTTTTTTTTCTTTTAGTGACAGCGTCTTTGAGTAGTCTACAGGCACATGATACCATACCCAGCTAATTTATTTTTTTACTTTTTGTAGAGATGATGTCTCCCTATGTTGCCTAGTCTGGTCTTGAACTCCTAGCCTCAAGCAATCCTCCCACCTTGGCCTCCCAAAGCCCTGGGATTACAGGTATGAGCTCCCGTGCCTGGCCAAGACAGGGCTTTAGATAATGGACTTTAATAATGAGAGTGACATCCCATCACATTTGCCACATTCCATAGGTTTGAGCAAGTAACAGACCTCTCCACACTTCGGTGGGAGGGGTTATGAAAGCCACCTTAGAGTCTGCCTGCCACAGAGGTTACTATCTCTGAACTTCAACTTTTTCACCTAAAAACTAATACATCTGTCCTTAGGGTAGTCATGAGGATTAATGCATGCAGAACTCTTTGAACAATACCTGGCTTATAGCACCTGCTGACCAAGCTCTGTGCAGCAAGCTCAGTAATAGATAGGTACCTTATTATTGCTGTTATTATTTTTATTATTATTACTAGATATCTTGCTACAGCCACAAAAACATCAGCGACTCTGACCATGTTTCAGAATTCACTGATTGGTTTGCTCCTGCTTCTCAGGGGCTCCTAACCCATGCTCTTCTCACCTCAACTCAACCCACGTGCAGCTGCAGGGGCAGCTGTGGAGTTTGCTGAACATCTCTTGTCTGTCCATAACCTGATGAGAAAATGAGGAGGGGAAGAGGAAGCATCCTTCCTTTTTTAGACAGGGCTCGGAATTGCTATCAGCTTGAGTACATGTCCTGGGCCTTTTCAACTATCTGGCCCAAGGCTAGGTTATTGATAAAGCTTAACACTCATGGTATCCACACAGTTTAAAAATTGGATAATCTGATAAAAGATTTAATTCCTCATGGGAAAAGTCTGAACTTTGTTGATCTTCCTTCCACAAATATGTGCAGTTTGGTGCTGCTTTCATTTGGAATTCCACATGAAGTTAGAGGTAGAAAAACCTTAATTTTCTCAATAACTATGAGCCCTGAAGCTTCTGTTCTGATTTGAACATAGCAGAAGACCTTGAACTGAAAATGTCTAGAATTGAAAATTTTCTGAATTAGCACTCAGGCTTCATTTTTGTTTCATACACCATTAGATTAACCATTCTCATTTTGTTTCTTAGATTAAATGCAACAAATCAAAGGCAGCGAGAGGTGAAGTTTCTTGGTGATTTTCCTTTGTCAACAGTCACACTCACAGCAGAGAGCTTGAGAGTCATCAGGAGACAGCAAAGCTGTTGGCAAAGAATTTTATGGGAAGAGCGATTTGGGACTATTTATAATAGAGGTTAGGTGGCATTGCTTACCTTTGTGGTATCACAGAGCAGTGCAACATCAAAGAAAGATTATGTCTTATTGAGAATACTCACTTTAGTCACATAAAATATGTTATACATTGCTTTTTCAATTGTAGTAATAACACTTTTAAAAATTATAGGGTTGTGCTTTAGATTTCATGGAAAATTAACTTATGAATAGTATCTCATATATTAATAAATACAGGTTAGTGTTAGAGTAACATAGTCTGTTTGGCAGAAGAACGGTCAAATAGGGAAGGATTTCTATAGAACAGAGGACAAGAAGGCGCACTCTGGCTTTCACCTCCATCTGTGGCACAGGCCATGTGGAAGCCTGCCTGCCACTGTCCTCACTTGCCTCCAGCTGACTGCTTTGCTTCTGAAGTTCCTGTCACTGCCACATCTAATATCAGACCCATCACCACATGGTTGGTCCTGTGTGTGAGTGTCTTCTCCTCTCAGTAACTCTGGGAAGCTCTCCTGAGGATAAAGCACTGCCTCTTCCAGAAAACACCACTGGTCCTGCAGATCCTGAGCCTGGGCCTCAGAAGACCTGCTGTTCTCCTCTGGCCCTTCTGCCACTCATCCCATTCAAGTCACTCTCCAACTTAGCAGGGACTTACGATCAGAATGTGCTTCTTCTTTAAGTTTATTTTAGCTATTAAAAATGGGTGAACTTGAAAATTATGTTTCTTTTACACCTATTGGGGGTGCCACTCTTTGATAGCCAGAATCTTGGCTGATGAGAGGATGACATTTCCCAGTGACTGGATCTGCTTTCACACTCATCTGCAGAAGGAGCTGGCATTTCCTTCCCTTGGGCCTTTGGCTTTGGTCTCTAATCATGGCACTGTTGCTTGAAGTCGTTTTGGTTTTCCCCATAGTCCAAAGGCACAGGGGACAGACACACAAACACACACACACACACATACACACACACACTCTCTCTCTCTCTGTTCCTTAAAATATGTATTGGGACTCTTTTCTTGTACTTCTATATTTGAACAAACACACATAGTTTGATTACAGCTTCTTCAAATAGTCAGTTTTCATCTGACCTTTATGTATTTCCACATAGGAACTAAATGGATTAAATTTTCATTTCTTCCTTTGAAATGTATGCTCTTAAAGCATGAGGAAATGTAACAGGAAAGGGCTTTAAGGCCAGTGGGATATTGAGTGAGGAAAGAAGACTAATGGAGAAGGTGCATGTATTATTGGAAACTCAAAGCTGGTTATTTGACATTTATAGTTTATACTCAGCCTATTTCAAGGAATTGAGGTGGCTTCAATACATCAGGCTGATAGGGAGAAGGAGGAGGGCGGAGATTTGCCATGGCTGTGGGAGACAGGCAAATCCAGCTGCAGCAATGTGTTCCTCCCAATTTATTACTGGCTTGCAAAGACCCTACAGCTTCTTCCTGGAGTTGCGTGTCCAAGTACTTTAACTTCTGGAAATCGGTTGCAATGGCCTACAGCCTGGAAAGGCCTTCCCAGGACTGGCTTGCTAGAGTCCACAGGAAAACAAGCCTTTGCCTTAGCCAAAGGCCTTGAGTTTTTATTGCTGTTTGTATTAGGTTGGTGCAAAAGTAATCACAACTTTTGGTCATTGAAAGTAATGGCAAAAACCACAATTACATTTGAATGAACCTAATACTTTGTATTCTATCCTTCTTTTATTACATTGTTTTTTCTCTCCAGTTGTAAAGTTTAAAAGTTGTCCCTACAATAAGACTGTTCACACAGAACCTAGCTATTAGAAACACTAGCTGGTGGGATCACCCTTGCATCCATTAGGGAAGGAAGGCCAGTCAGGAGCACTGGCATTTGTTGAAATGTTACATTATTCTGTCCCTTGGCAACATTATTCCCATAGATTCTAAAATGAGGGATCAGTCACTCTAGCGGTACCGGCTGCAGAAGATCATCTTTTTGAATGCGTCCCTGAGCTCTTGGCTCCGGAAGGCATATATAAAGGGGTCAATGACAGCATTGCACATGATCAACATGCCGTTCACCTGGAAGAGAGACATGTAGCAAGCACAGTAGGGGTTACTTGGGCAGAACGTCATTAAGAGGATGTGAAGGACAAAGGGGGCCCAGCAGAAGATGAAGACCCCAAGCAGGATGGTCAGTGTGATGGCCCCTTTCATGTTGGCTCTGGGAAGGGTGGAGATCTTCCTGGTATGGGATCGAGCCAGCAGGAACATGTGCACATAAAGGCACAGGATGAAGACCAGCATCAGTGGGAACAGCGACGTGAAGGTGATCACCGTGGGCACATGATGGGAGAAGATCACCATGGCGATGCCACTCCCTGTGCAGAACGTCCAGATGACCGCAAGGACCACCACGGTGCGGCGCATGGTCACGATGCTGTGGTACTGCAGTGCATGGAAGATGGTGATGTAGCGGTCGGCGGCAATCACAGACAGGCTGAAGATGGAGCCAAGCAGGGAGAGGATGAACAGGGAGTCGATGATGTCATCGGCTGTGGTTTCGAGACTGCCACGCAGCTTGAGATAGCCCACGTTTCTCAATATGATAAGGATATTTTCCAAGATCTTATATAGGCTGCCCAGCATATCAGAAATGGCCAAACTACAGATGAAAAAGTACATGGGTGCCTGGAGATTCTTATTCTTGAACACAGCCAGCAGGACGATCAGATTCTCTAAAACTCCAACAATGGAAATTGTGAAAAATATTTCTTCCGGTAAAACCACACGAGGACAGTCGGAGTCATTTCTTGCTGTGTTGTTGACGTTTTCATATGAGTTGAAAATGTGCTTCATTTCTCCTGCTTGTGGTTAGGCAGGGATGTTACTTGGACTTGACTTCACAGAAAACTTGGTTGATTGTTCAGGATCTTTTCTTTCTTGTAGCACTTGCTGGAGATCTAAGTTAAAATCACCCAATCACCTAAAAGAGAGTATGCAGAAATATTAGTTGACAGAACATTAGAAAATACAAACCAGCCACTCTCACTTAAGGAAACTCTATTTGCTTCATAAAAATGCACATAAATCAGTATATTAGAAAAAGCCTGCATGTGTATGTTTATTGTAGCACTAGTGACAATAACAAAGATATGGAATCAACCAGTGTTCATCAATGGGTGAAGAGATAAGGAAAATGTCGTACATATACACAATGAAGTACTCTTCAGCTGTAAAAAAGAATAAAGTCATGTCTTTTGTAGCAACATGGTTGGAAGTAGAGACCATTATCTAAGTAAAATAACTCAGAAACAGAAAGTCAGATACTGCATGTTCTCACTTATATGTGGGAGCTAAATAATGCATACATGTGGACATAGAGTGTGGAATGGACATTGGAGACTCGGAAGGGTGGGAGGGGGTGGCTGATAAGAAATTTCCTCATGGGTAACATGTATGTTATTTGGGTGATGGATACACTAGAAGCCCAGGCTTCACCACTACGCAGTATATCTATATAACAAAACGGTGCTTGTACCCCTTACATTTATAAAAATATTTATAAAGTATTGTAATTTAAGTAAAATAATTTACTGGGCCCTCATCTTAAGCACTTTGTGAGAAACAGCTTTAGTGGAATTTTGAGCCAAGAGATGATAGCAAAAATTATTCTTTGCTGCCTTACTTTCCCTCCCATCCTTCTCATGAACACACATGAGTGTGGAATGACAGGATGGACAGCAGTGGTGCCCTTGATGAGAAAAGAGGTAAAGCAAGGAAAGGTCCATGTGCGAACAGGAGAGCCCACAGCTGCCTTCTCCGACTAGGAGGTGGTGGCTGGGCTCAGTGAACTCGGGAGAGGTTTAGGTCTCTTCCTTCTCACTGCTTGTCTCCCTGGGCCACTGCCTGAGCACCCCCAGCCTGTGGGATAATGGCAAAGGTGTGGATGTATCATTCCCAAAGATGACTATGCAATGTGTGTTACCGCTTCTGTTTCAACTCCCGGGACTGGTATTTCTGGAGAGTTCTTATTTTCGGTGTGTCTGGGGTGAAATTGACTCTGGCAGTCAATAGTAGGGGATGCCAGCACCACTCAGTGAGGAAAAGACACTTCCCAGGGAGGACAAATCTGGGAGCACAGCCTGTGATCTGAAGTCCACAGGGAGCCCATCATGGCCTCAGTGTAGGGAATCGTCTGGAAAGGAACCAATTCCCTTGGAAAGGACTAGGGGAGAGGTCAACTGCTCAGAGGGAGGTTTGTGAGTTCGGTGGTGTGGAAGGAGGGGATTGACAGGGAGTAGCTGCTGCTAGGGTTCTGCTTGGAATGGCCAATTTACCCCGTTTGCCTGAAACATGGGCAGGTTTTAAAAGCCAGAAGTCCTGCCTCCCAGGAACCACCTCAGTCCTGGACAGACGGGGATGAGCCACCTTTGTGCCTCCTGCCCAGGCTCGGGGAAGCCTGTGTGCTGTGTCCCACCTGCTGGGAAGCCTCAGGGTTGGGAGGGGACCTGTGGTGGTCAGGGTTAATGTATCAGCCTCACTGAGCTTCAGGGTGCCAGGTATGTGGTGAGACAGTGTTCTGGGTGTGTCTGAGGGTGTTTCTGGATGAGACGAACATTTGAACAGGTGACTGGGTAAAACAGAGGCCCTCCGGGATGTGGATGAGCCTCATTCGATCAGCAGAAGGCCTGAGGAGAACAGAAGGGCTCTTCAAGGACTAGGGGGCTCCTCCAGCCTGACTGCCTGACGGCGACGCTGGCCTCTTCCTGCCTTCAGACTAGCATGGAAGCGTAAACTCCTCTTAGGTCTCACGTCTGCTGGCTTTCAGACCGGAACACACCATCCACTTTCCTGGGTCTCCAGCTTGCTGGGTGCAGAGCTTGGAACTGCCCAGCCCCATAACTATGTGTGCCAATTCCCTATAATAAATCTCTTTATGTCTCTACACATCTCCTGTTGGTTCTTTTCCTCTGCGGCATCCTGGTTAACATAGGCCCATCCTGGTTAATACAGGGTCCATGTGACCGGGAAGAACCATGTATGGAGGCTCTGCCGGGACAGAGATTTCCCCATATCTTATGAGTCCATTAAGTGTAATCAGAATTAGTACATATTTCTAATCTCAGATGCAATTGATGGTAAAATTGATGAAAAAAAAGGAAATATTGAAAGTGGTTGTAATATTTCTTAGAAACAGGTAGTTTGGAAACCCAGCTTCAGTTGCTGTGCATTGCTGACCTGCAGCTGCCAATCCTATAAATCCACGAGGAGCCCTGAATTTGGACAGAAATGCAGTGTGCCCATGGGGCGCCTCCAACAGGCCACAATCAACCATTGCTACTGCACATTTGTGGATGCTGCCAAGCTGGTGGTGGGGACTGCAGGTGGTGTGTGGCCCCATTCTTGGTTAAATGGACAGTGACACGAATTGGTGGACTTTATGAGTGCTCAGCATGACCTGGTCACCATCTAATACTCCACACTCATTCACTCGCTCAACCTCCAGGGGAAACCATAGCAGAGAGGTTGGGCAGCTGCCCAAAGCCACAGTCTGGAGAGAATATAGCAGAGCCCGCCTGTGACCACCTGTCACACTCCTTTCACATGTGGCAAGGGTAACAACAACAGATGCAAGAGCCAGACACAGCACCCCTGCTCCATCACAAACTGCAATAAAATTGACACCAGTCATTTTCCTCTCGACTTGGCCTTTCTCAGTGCCAAGTAGGATTTGTAAATTATGCTGTGTTGCTATGCTCCTGTTGTACCTGCTCAGGGATTGCCTGTAGAACACACTAAATGACAATTAGAAGACGCAAAACTCACTCCATATAAACTTCGCAAGAACCTGCTGTGAGGTGGTGCCAATGATCCAGATATTTCAACAATGTCTTTGGCTGAAAGAACTTGGATAGAGGTCTGCACCTGCTGCCTGTCTGGCTCTCACTCCTTCAAAGCCTTCTGCTATCCCCTCCTGTTTGCTTTTTTGTGTCTTGATTGTTTTTCTTTTTTTGAGATAGAGTCTTGCTCTGTCACCAGGCTGGAGTACAGTGGTGCAATCTCGGCTCACTGTACCCTCTGTCTTCTGGGTTCAAGTGATTCTCCTGCCTCAGCCTCCCAAGTAGCTGGGACTGCAGGCACACACCACACCACCATGTCTAGCTAATTTTTGTATTTTTAGTAGAGATGGAATTTCACCACGTTGGCCAGGATGATCTCAATCTCTTGACCTTGTGATCTGCCCACCTCGGCCTCCCAAAGTCCTGGGGTTACAGGCATGAGCCACTGTGCCTGGCCAATGTTTTGATTTCTTTACTACAAAAAACACAGGCCTAGAGCCCTTCCAACTTCTTCCAGGGTTTGTGGTTTTCTGGGCAACGAATGTCCACCTTCAAGTCCACACTGCTTCCTTCTGTCCATACCCTATTGAAACCTGTCTCAAGCTCCTGGGCTCAAGGCATCCTCCCACCTTAGCTTCCCAAAGCACCGGGGATTACAGATATCAGCCACCCAACCTGGCAGGGTGATCATAAAAGCTCAGTCTTTCTTATGTTATTTGAACCTCTGGAGTTAACTTCTGGCCTGAAGACCAAGCTTCATCACCTTGAGCTCGCAGTAAACAAGATCTTAGAAGGCTCTAACTCTGCGGTGCTCCTCGAGAGGCAGAGATGGGAGGGTGGATGAGAAATGAGAAAAGAGGCAAGTTTTTCACACCTTTAAAATCTGTACCAGAAGAAACCTGGTTGATTCATTTGCGTCAAGGCATAGGTCTAGGCAGGCAGAGCAGACAATTGAGGCAGTTATAATTTTTCAAGGAACTGCAAGGAAAAGTGAAATCAACTTTTGTTTTTTGGCTGTGAGGGGCACACAAATCATAGAGTTAACGGCATCACAGGGCAAAAGAATGTCGCCCCAGATACTTAAGTGCGTCCCCAAATGTGGCTCATCCTGTTAGACGCGCTTTGCAAAAGTCCAGGGAGCATGGGTAACTCTAAAATGAGATTTTTATATTGATTACCATCTTTGACCAAAAAAAAAGGAAAAATATAATTTTTATATATTTTAAAGGCACTAAGGGTAAGGAGAAAGCTCTGTTATGTGTTAAATTCTTGTTATGTGCCAACTGGTCCTGCGTCCTGTGCTGTGCATGGTGGGTCTCATTTTAAGCCTCTTGACAATGATATAAGGGAGTCCTATTCTCTCTGACTCACCCCTGAGGAGTTGAGGCCGAGAGACCAAGAGACTGGTCTAAAGTCTCATAGGCTTTACGTTGCACAGTTGGGATTTAAATCAAGATCTGTTTGGCTCCAAAAATGATTATTCTTAGGGCTGCCATGAATATTCATTTGATAAGGAAGTTTTAATGGCTTTGGTAAAAAATGATTATAAAGTAACTTACAAATCCTAAACCTCTGTATCTGACCAAATCAGGATGGTTTTTTTTTTTTTTTTTTGACTCTCTCTGAGATTTTTAATGAAATTCAGAGAAGAGAAAGACCTGTAGTCCCCACTTGTGGCTTAGGAAGGATGTTAATGCTGCCGAAAGGCTTTGAGCAGCAGGGCTGCAGACGTCCTGGGGCCCCCGGGCTGTGTTTTCCGGTTCTGTGGATCTTCCTGGAGGTAAATGAGCAGCACGGTGCCACTTCCCTCTGTGCTGCTGGACATTTTCTTGGATTGCTCTTCTGGAGAAGAGCTGAGGAAGGAGGACTGAGTGATGTTTACCAGAAGCTTTCAAGCCTTTCTAGAGGGCAGTCCCGTAACCCAGGCTTTAGAGAGAGCCAGCCAAGCACTGTGCTCCTGGGCTCTGGGTGCTGGTGGCGGGGCTGTCATGCCACTGGGCTGATTTGCAGGCATCGGGTGAGGTTCTGGAATCTGCTCTGAGTGAATCAGGAGCTCCTCTCAGTGTCCCAGCTTCTGTGCTGCCTTCCTTCTTTGTTTTCACTAGATGCATTTAAGATTTTTATGTCACTCTTTGAATAGGTT